TCAGTCTCACCACGACACCGGTGTACCGGATACCGATTTTGTGTTGTATGTTGCAGCGGGACCAACTGTACCTGGTAATCTTGCTTGGGCAATCACGTGTCAGTTTGACCCCAGTGGCCGCCCCTTGGTGAGTGTTGGCAATATCGGGTCTGTACACTCTATAGAAATTTTCTCTTGTACATATATTCTAACGCACGAGTTACTGCATGCGTTGGGTTTTTCCATTCAAATATTTAAAAATCGTAATATGGTTGATAAAGTGTCTGTTCGTAATAAACCAGCAAGTAATGTTCTGAAGTCGCCCAAAGTGGTGGAAGTCGCGAGGGCTCATTACGGGTGCAGTACCATGCAGCACGTGGAGTTGGAGGATATGGGTGGTACAAAGACTGTTGGCTCACACTGGAAGATGCGCAACGCAAAGGATGACTTGATGTCTCCTTCTTTTTCAGCAGGTTTCTACACTGCCATCACCATTGCGGCGATGGAGGACACGGGCTACTACAAAGGCAACTACCGCAATGCTGAAAGCATGGCATGGGGTAGGAATGCCGGTTGTGTGCTCTTTGATAAGAAGTGCGTTATTGACGGTGTGTCGCAGGTGCCGGAGATGTTCTGTGACGGGGTAATCTCTTTAATAAGTGACTACAGGTGTACATCAGACCGGTTGGGAATTGGTGACTGCGCAATCGCTTATCATGTCAAATTGCCAGTATATTTGCAATACTTTTTAAATCCAACAATGGGTGGGAAAGATGCCTTTATGGATTTCTGTCCTATTATAAAAGCATATTCAACAACTTTGTGTTTAAATGGAGATGCAAGTATTTTCCCTGGTTCTGTGTTTTCAGAGTCTGCGCGATGCTTTTCAGCTATCCCAAATACTCCCATCAGGATAAGCAATCACCAAAATATGCTCTCTATTTGCGCAGACGTGCAGTGTGACAAGGACACCTCGAGGTACCGTGTGCGCGTGAAGGGTGCCAGTGATTTCGTGGACTGTCCATCCGGTACTACCCTTGTGCTTTCTGACTACAGTACAGAGTTTAAGTCTGGTGTGATCACGTGTACACCATATGAGGATGTATGCTCTAAATCCCTTTACCCCGACTATAACCGCGATAATTACTTCAATGAAAGCAGCATCGCTACATTCGGTACGACTAATATTGCGTACCAGTTGATCTACACACTTGTTGCGGCGCTGACCGCAATGATTGTCCTCGCTGAATAATGACAGGGGGAAACGTCCGTGAGGAGGGTGAACCGCAGGAAAGATGAAATAGACAGGGATGTGAACGGTAAAATTGTTCTCGTTATGGTGAGCTATGAATTTCTGATCGTTTTTCTAATTGGAATTATATTCCTTCTTTTTCATTTTATTAAACAGACAAATCTTTCTTTTCTTATATATGTGTAAATTGTTTTCTCTTTTATTCAAACGTACGAGAGGTATTCTTTCCCATCGGCGTGTAAATTATATATTGTGCTTAATTAGGAGTAGGAAAAACACCGACTAAGTCAGTTTAAATGCGTATACACACATCAGTTAAAAATGATGAAGGAAAGCTGTTTAACCAAGGGATGAGTGTAGTTTAGATTCTTATAGAATAGGGAAAACATAACGAGTTGAACGGCGCCGAGGTAAACACTTCGATACGTAGTCCTCGTTTTGCAGTAAGTGTGTCAATTTATTTCTACTGTTTAATCAATAAATATATATTGCTTTCATAAATAACACACGCGTGTATATTAATCACTTTTATATCCTAACAGAAACAATGCCTACACTGCTGTTCCCTATTCACTCTGGTTGTGGTACTTTGTTATTGCAACCTCCATCGCGAATGTAAAGCATGCTGTGCGGTAGGGCACCGTAGCCGGGTTTCATGGG